TTAATTTATCATAACTGAAATGTTTTATGTGGCACCACTAGGAGTAATTGTTACTGTTTAATTTTGAAATTAAATATTTTAATCTATTAATTCTATCCAATCATAGATTTTAGTTTTAAATATTATGGCACATTAAAAATCTGGTAATTTCTCTTCCAGTTATTATTTAACCAGGCGCTCATACCTGCTCTTGTACTCTATAAAACTATTATGTAGCTTTCCTTAAATAAATAAAACTGTAAGTGTAAAGACCATTACTTATAGCATTTTTTTATCTGTTATCAAATAATAAACCTCAATTTATATTTGTTGAAGAATGGGATGAATCCGATTTGTGTCTAATTTGATTTTTATTTTGCAAACCTGATTTACCTGCTAAGATCCAACAGGTACCTTTGCAAAATTTGTCCAATCATGATATTGGTTTGGATGAATGGATTTGTTTGACTTTACTTTGGCAGAGGAAATGTTCTCCCTGAAACAGATTATTTCCCTCTGCTGACTTTTTTTTTTCTTTTCGTCTTGCAGCTGTGTTCATGTAGGAGCATCTTTGTTGTGTTTCATCTTTGTAAAGCTGTCCAGGCAGACTCAGACCAGGACAACGGGCCTCTCTGACGTAGACCTGGATGGGTAATCTGTTAAATCAGCAAAATGTAATCTTCTTTAGCCAATGACCGCTGTGGAATTATTTGCATGGCTGAGTAATAGATGTGCTGGTTTCTACAGTCTCCATGGTCGACCAGGAATCCTTTTGTGTTTTGTAGTTGTCCAATAATAAAACATTGTTAATGAGTTTTTCTGTCCTGTTGAGATCAGGTTCTTTAATTACCTTCCCTGTTTCTTCTTCATAAAGGATCACTACATTCAGTGCTGAACTTTATTTATTAATGTGTTGTAGTTAGATGTAGTGAATAAAAAAAAAGTGGATTAGTTATTAGAGAGCGAGGCACTTTCTGTCCTGAAGAGGTTCTAGGATCACTGGTTTAAACCTCCGTCTCCCAATCTTAAATACAGAGGACACATTTTGTTATCAAATTTAAAATTGGAATCAGGGTTGAATGCTACGTAAAGATACTGAAGTTAAAATGTTGGTGGTCTGGATCTTTCTTGAAGTTTAAGAAATAGATGATTTTTTTTACAATGGCAAAGGAAAGGCTAGGGAAATCTACACATTGTAAGTAGGTCTAGAAAATATTTTTATCACTTATTTGCTTTAAAAGTTATTCTGAATATATATATATATATATGTGTGTGTTTTGGGTCTATAACTATCAGGTGTAATTAGTGATGTTTGGATCCAATATTTAGTATTGGATATTAGTTGGATTTTAGGCAGAAGTAGAATATGTGATTATATTGACAAGTAGGGGTGTAAATCGCACCCGTTATGGCGATTTGATTCAGTATATATTTCCTTATCCAACGATTCGATAATTTTCGATACTCAAGAATCCGCCATGTCTGTCTTGCTTACTGTTTATGCGAGTGTGGGTGTGCAAGCAGAAAGAGCATAGTGGCTAAAGGAAGCAAGTTAGGAGGGCAAAATAGGTTTAGTTCCACCGCAGCACGGGAGTCAGACTTACGTCCAGGAGCGAATGGATAAAAATAGACCAGAGTAATAAAAAAAAAAGCATGAATCGATAATCTTGCAGACGTGTCGATGCACCGGATTGTCGGCATATTACTACACTCTTATTGACAAGCCTTTACAATCTCTGATACATGCATATTGGGGCTGCTCAGTGGCGCAGTGGATTGCACTCCTGCCTTGCAGCAAGAAGGTTCTGGGTTTGAGTCCAGGCCTGGGGTCTTTCTGCATGGAGTTTGCATGTTCTCCTTGAGCATGTGTGGGTTCTCTCCGGGTACTCTGGCTTCCTCCCATAGTCTAAAAACATGATGTTAGGTTATTTGGCTTCTCTAAATTCTGTGTGATTGTGTGTGTGATTGGTTGTTTGTCTCGGTGTTGCCCTGCGATGGACTGGCGACCTGTCCAGGGTGTACCGCGCGTCTCGCCCATACTTCGCAGGAGATAGGCACCAGCACCCCACGTTACCCCGCTTGGAATAAGCATGACAGAAAAAAGATGGATGCTGCTGATAGAAACACTGCTTCTGTAACGTATAGGTTAATATTACATGAGTCATTTTGTTCTCATACTTATTGTTGTTGATTTTTGTTCCCTGTTTAGTAATATCTCTCTATCAAGCCTTTATTTAACATTCAGTAATAAAGAAGTAATAAAGGCACGTAAGATTCATGCTGCTAGTCGGTATCCAAACCGGTCAATTTTCAAAGCTGCACTATTGGTATCGTATTGGAAATGGAAAAGCTGCACCAGGACTAGATGTAATAATTTTCTCCACTTCATTCTCCCCCTGAAAAAAAAAAAAAAACATAAGAACTTGTCACTTCTCTTATGCTAATTAGGCAGCAAATATTGTAAAACTTCTCCAAACGCAGTATTTTTTTCAGAAGTTTTTTTTAATTATCAGACTCTACTGGTAAAGGTTAAGGTGATTGATTTTCTACCGATAATGAACCCCTCACCATCACTTGGCTTTATGTCCTTACAATGGACGAGGAGTAAATGATAGAGAACTTCTCTAAATCATCCATTTAACAGCAGCTTTTTCATCCTTCTAAAGGTTTTTACTGACCTGAAAATGGGCTTAAACCTGTAAAATGAACTAAAGGCTAAACTAGACTGTGAATAATTGTGCATAAAGATGAAGAGGCTGAACTAATTTTTTGCATCAGTCATCCATGATTAGAATAACAATATGGCTTCTTTTAAAATGAGTTAAGACAGTAAACCTTAGAATGGGTGATTCAAGGCTCAACCAGGATACATTATTATAATTGATAAGAACTTTCTAAAACGCTTACTATAAATTTTGTCCAAATAGTTCTGACAGTGAGGAAGAAGGTAGAGAACTGAGCCTGTATGGCTACAGTTATAATCCCTTTAGCATAGGGAGCAGGCAAAGTTACCAACTGATGCTAAGGAGATATACAGGTGCTGGTCATAAAATTAGAATATCATGAAAAAGTAGATTGATTTCAGTAATTCCATTTAAAAAGTGAAACTTGTATATTATATTCATACATTACATACAAACTCATATATTTCAGATGTTTATTTTGTTTAATTTTGATGATTACAAATGACAACAAATGAAAATCTCAAATTCATCATATCAGAAAATTAGAATATTGTGAAAAGGTTCAAAATTGATGGCCCCTGGTGCCACACTCTAATCAGCTAATTAACTCAAACCACCTGCAAAAGCCTTTAAATGGTCTTTCAGTCTAGTTCTATAGGCTACACAATCATGGGGAAGACTGCTGACTTGACAGTTGTCCAAAAGACGACCATCGACACCTTGCACAAGGAGGGCAAGACACAAAAGGTCATCGCTGAAGAGGCTGGCTGTTCACAGAGCTCAGTGTCCAAGCACATTAATAGAGAGGCGAAGGGAAGGAAAAGATGTGGTCGAAAAAAGTGTACAAGCAAGAGAGATAACCGCACCCTGGAGAGGATTGTGAAACAAAACCCCTTCAAAAATGTGGGGGAGATTCACAAAGAGTGGACTGCAGCTGGAGTGAGTGCTTCAAGAACCACCACACACAGACGTATGAAAGACATGGGTTTCTGCTGTCGCATTCCTTGTGTCAAGCCACTCTTGAACCACAGACAGCGGCAGAAGCGTCTTGCCTGGGCTAAAGAGAAACAGGACTGGACTGCTGGTGAGTGGTCCAAAGTCATGTTCTCTGATGAAAGTAAATTTTGCATTTCCTTTGGAAATCAAGGTCCCAGAGTCTGGAGGAAAAGAAGAGAGGCACTTCATCCACGTTGCTTGAAGTCCAGTGTAAAGTTTCCACAGTCAGTGATGGTTTGGGGTGCCATGTCATCTGCTGGTGTTGGTCCATTGTGTTTTCTGAGGTCCAGGGTCAACGCAGCCACATACCAGGAAGTTTTAGAGCACTTCATGATTCCTGCAGCTGACCAACTTTTTGGAGATGCAGATTTCATTTTCCAACAGGACTTGGCACCTGCACACAGTGCCAAAGCTACCAGTACCTGGTTGAAGGACCATGGTATCCCTGTTCTTAATTGGCCAGCAAACTCTCCTGACCTTAACCCCATAGAAAATCTATGGGGTATTGTGAAGAAGAAGATGCAATACACCAGACCCAACAATTCAGAAGAGCTAAAAGCCACTATTAGAGCAACCTGGGCTATCATAACACCTGAGCAGTGCCACAGACTGATCGACTCCATGCCACGCCGCATTGCTGCAGTAATACAGGCCAAAGGAGGCCCAACTAAATACTGAGTGCTGTACATGCTCATACTTTTCATGTTCATACTTTTCAGTTGGCCAACATTTCTATAAATCCTTTGTTTTTATTGGTCTTCAGTAATATTCTAATTTTCTGATATGATGAATTTGAGATTTTCATTTGTTGTCATTTGTAATCATCAAAATTAAACAAAATAAACATCTGAAATATATGAGTTTGTATGTAATGTATGAGTATAATATACAAGTTTCACTTTTTAAATGGAATTACTGAAATCAATCTACTTTTTCATGATATTCTAATTTTATGACCAGCACCTGTAAGGAGTCTCATAATCCTTTGCATGAAAGGACATACAGGCACAGCCCAGCTCTTGGAATTTAACAAAAACACATTATTTCTTACGTTTTCTCTGTGCGACCCATGCTAATGCCTCACCTTCATAAGTTTTGGGTTTTTTAGGCCAAAGCTCTCGTTCCATATGAATTCATTAATCTGAGCCTTTATTTTTATAACGTTTATTTCTGGTCTTTTGATAAACAAAAATGATTAAGATTGCTTAAGGTGGTTTTCTGCTTGGCTTCTATAGCTTCAGCAAAGGGGAGTTCAGAGTCTTGCGAATTTTTAACGTGCTCTCTAATTTGATACATACCTACCTTGTTATTTCGTTGATATGACTGTTTTTATTTTTGTAGAGGTGAGCCATGGCTGAACAGAGTTCTGCCCGATCCCAAAGGAAGATGTCCACCTCCGGGGAGAGTGTGTATAAGGTACTAGGCCTTGAGAAAGGAGCTTCAGCTGAGGAAATTAAGAAGGCATACAGGTGAGCTGTCTGAATGTGTGGTAATCCGAATTATTTACCTTTTTACTACCAAGTCTCTTCTGTCTTGTTTTGAACCATTAGATTCTGCCAAATAACATTGTTTATGCTGAGTATCATCTTGAATTTTACTCATCATGAGCCGATTTTTTTTTTTATTGTCTGCCACATTTAAGTACATTTCTTTCTGTTTCTAGCTGTTATTTTTTTAAATACAATAATCTTTTTAAAAAATAGGAATACATTTATCTCTTTGTGGAGTCATTTAGTCACTTTATCAATAATGTATAGAACTTAACATAATAGAATAGACTTGAATCTGTTGTTGTACCTCAGTGGAGTAATTAGCTGTATCAAAGTAAAAGCCAAATGAAAGTAGATTCATACAAGGTAATGTTAAAAAAATTAAATAAACATTAAGATTTTTTTGTAATGACATAAAGAGGCATTATCTTTAAAATAAATGTATTTTAGAAATACATTCCTTATAGGATACAAGACATTTTAAAAGCCCAGACATTCCAGCACATAAATATTCTGACTTCAATAGTTTTTTTAATTTGCATTTTAAACTACAAAAAGATTTTTTTTTATAAATGGTGTCTTTTTCAGGAGTTTAAAATGTATTCAGGATGTGAGGATCAAATAAAAGCACCGTGGGGAGTTTTCATTAGAGTCGGTTCTCTCTCCTTTCAGGAAACTTGCACTGAAGTACCATCCGGACAAGAACCCAGACAACCCAGATGCAGCGGAGAAGTTTAAGGAGATTAACAACGCCAACTCTATTTTAAACGACGAGAACAAAAGGAGGATTTACGACGAGTATGGCTCCATGGGCCTTTACGTATCCGAACAGTTCGGAGAGGAAAGTGTCAAATACTACTTCCTCATGTCCAAGTGGTGGTTTAAGGTTAGTAATGCTGGTAGCCTTTGTTGCTGACATAAAATGTAAAGTTACAATCCTACAGAGCTATTTATTGTTGACTTTGTTTGGTTTAGTTATATGTCAATAACTATTTATATAGTTACAGGATTTATTATATCCATATTTTTTAGTTATAAGAAGGCAAATTAAATGAGTCTAGAATGGCAGCTCTAGCAGCTGGAACTATTAGTTTTAACTCTGCATGCTTCATTACATACAACTTCAGATTCTGCATAAGAAAAGCCTAACGCTGATCTCTGTTTGATCCTTATGATGCAGTCTTAGACAGTTGTCTTCCTGCCGATATTAATGATTAAAGCTGACATATATCAACAGCCTCTGTGCATTCTAATACCATGTAATGTAAATCAGTTTTTTCTGTTAATCCCTGCAGAGTGTGGTGCTGTGCTGCACACTTTTTACCTGTTGCTGCTGCTGCTGCTGTTGCTGTTTCTGCTGCGGGAAGTGCAAGCCCCCCGACGATGATGAAAACTACCAATATGTTGATCCGGAAGACCTGGAGGCCCAAATCAGAGCGGATCAGGACGGAGGTAGGTGCTCGGTGCTTTAGTTCTGGGTCTGATTTTGTTTGTTTGATACTGTATAGATTATAAAGGAACAAATACAACTTGGATGAATGCAGATGCATTGATGAGTACAGGAAAGTATCATCATTATGATTTATTTCCACAGATAACCTGAGTGTTTCGTTAACAACATTTAAAGCTTCATTTTAGTAAAAAAGATGATGCAAAATACACAAAACTGTTGATAAAATTTAAATCTGGTTGCAGTAGAAATGAAATATTTCTTGTATTAATGGATTCTTCTTCCACATTAAACAAAATGCAATTAATAAACAGTTAATATTTTTAGAGACCTATTAGGACAACTGCTTTTAACATCATCGTTATATTTGAAAATTGTAGGGGGATTTTCAAAACTTTATAAACATATGATATAAAATTGGAGGTAAAGCAGGTTTGCTCCAACAGGGAGTAGTGTGAAGCTGCACAGCAAGAACAACAAAAAGATTTCATTCAGGAAAATGCACAAAACCTCAAAAGCAGATGAGGTCAGATGAGAAATTCTGTGGACTAATTTTGACAGAGAAAAAACTTTACTATAAGAAAGATGTCAGTTAAAGGAGCGGAGAGAACGTATCAGTGGATCTACTTGCTACACTGGCGAGTTATCATGTTATCTTCCTCAGGAATCGCTTTCCAATTGGCTACTCCTCACATTCAACAGGTGGCGTCCTACTCTCATCTTGCAGGGTTCCCGCGGGTCCTTAAAAAGTCTTAAAAGGCATTGAATTCTTCAAAATAAAACTAAGGCCTTAATTGGTATTAAAATGTCTTAAATCAGTCTTTCGTAGGTCTGAATTTTTGAAACATCATATATAGGATTATTTTTATTATGATTTATTTTTGTAACCTAAATAAAACGTTAAAATTGACCCTTTTTTTTTAATAAAAAAAAAAAATGGCTGCTATCCGTCCCGATAGCGGAACCAATAAAAGCGTTGTTGCGGCCGGGACATTTGGGAGATGCGCCATTTACTTTTTGTCTGGAAAATATGAGCAAGTATAAATGTAATCAGTGGATTTAGTGCAAGAAGCGATTCAAGCTCGGAACGATGGGAATTAGGGCAGTGGAGTCACATATGAAGCACGAAAAACAGAGCATCAAAATCAAGTTACCGAGAAACAGCCGGTATTTCTCAGTTTAGTTCCACCCTTGTTTCTGCAACGCCTCCACTTATCACCAAATCAAACAGACTAAGAAAACCATACAAAGAAAAATAGCTGCAAAAAAGACTTAGCACTGGTTATGTTGTGGCTTTAAAACTGATTTATTTTGTTCCCTGCTAAAACAAAGTTTGTGAATTCAGTTAAATAATTGTTAAAATAAATCTGTCATTTGTGTTTTTAGCTTTCTTCCTGTATGGGAAGCTTTTCAAAATTTGAAACATTAGTGCAGTGGTTTATGTTAAAATAAACCTTTGGGTTAAGTTGTCACAAGCAGGTTTTTCTTGTGTTTCTTGTGAATTTGGTCTTAAATTTTTATTCCAAGTGGCATTAAAAAGTCTTGAATTTAACTTGCCTTATGCTGTAGGAACCCTGTCTTGGGGAACACCATACAAGCTAAGATATCGGGCCAAGCCAATCCAACATATTGGATTTTTTGGATTTATGAACAGAGGCATCCTAACATTTCTCCGAGCAGACCTGATCCGTCTTTAACCACACAGAACAGGATTGGCTCATAGGATTAAGAGAAAGATTGGGGGAAATTTGCCACCATTATCTCGCCATGTGAACCAGGCGTTGTAGCTCGTTCACCGTGCCCACAAATAAGAACTTCTTCTTTTATTTTCACTGCTTCAACAAGTCCCCATTTAGGCCAGAGTATACTGGAGTAAATTTCTGCATACTCTAGCTTTGCCATTTCAAAAAGCTAGGTAGCCATTACTGTGAGTTAAATTGTCACAGCAACCGTGCTCAGTAGCAGGTTTGTTTGGAGTAACTCTGGCTGTGTCTGAAGGCCCGAACCACTATAAAGAGAAATATATAAGGGTTACGCCATTTTATATGACTGTCTGAATGTCTAGTGGATGGAAAAGAAGTGGACTCAAAGTAAGGCGATGTTTTTATCTGTATGAAACAAATGAAAACGCAACATAGCCGTAATTTCAGAGTGGCTCTAGTTCTATTTGAACAATAGAGAGCATCGTCTAGCATTAATATAAAACTATATTAAGCTGCTTCATCTGCAGAGGATTTGAAATGAACACAGCCTTCAGGATTTCCCTCTTCCAATCCAACAGGTACCACTGTAATCATAATCCAGCCAGCCTCCGATCTGGGTCCTGAAACCCCAGAGGAACAGAGTAAGCCAATCCCCCTGCCTATGCCCATGCCTCCACCTGAGCCCCAGTCGCCTTCATCAACCAACACACCGGGGAAAGAAAACCCCAGAGAAAGCTTACAAGAGTCTGAATGACTCGTAAGAGCCGCCTCGTCTGATCTTTGTGTCCCTTTGTCTTCCGTTTGTTTAATTGTTTTGCACAATAAATCCTCCTCATCCTCATGGTTGTACGTCAGTTTCTCGACTCGCCCGTTTGTGTGGCTATTGCTGCTTCGCTGGCCCGTAACAAACTCCTCCAGCTTGTCATTTAACCGCCGTCTAATACTAACCCAAACGGACATCATGTTCACGTTGATTTGCACATGCATGTCTCCTCATGCTGTCCACATGAACACATTACCCCATTACCTGTGTGTGTCTGTGTTACATGCTCAATGCATGAGACCGTTCCAGCCTGCTGCCTGTGCAGAGAGAGATCCAGATGTTGTCCACTGATCTGAACCAAATATTCACTGAAATGAAAGCTTGCATTGCTCTGCACGTTGTAACACATTTATCCTTTTGTTTGCTTTATAAATAAAATCTGAGCTGCTTATTCTTTATGCCTCTTCTTGACCTATTTTATCGGTGCTCATGTGAGTAAACTATTCCCTGATTGTCTTGTTGACTCCTTTTTTTATAGGAAAATGATCATGTGATTCAGTGTCAACTAGCTTCTGCAGGAAGGTAAGATCCTGTTTATGTTTTCTTGATTAAAGGTTAGAATCAGAAATCAGTCAACCTTATCACTTTGAATCAACCGACTATGATCTTAAAATGAGCAAAAAAAGTTTATTTTAAATGCACATTTGAAAAAAGACAATTCAAAGTGCTTACATGAATTAAACAATAAAATAGAAGAAAAATAAAAGCAAGTAAAGATAAAAACATTAGAGCTGGTGTCTGAACTTCCCCGTTGCGTTAGAACCATAAACTTGAACGTACTTTACTAATATTGCATGAAAAAAGGTAAATGGACTGATCAGAAAGAAAGTATAGAGAGTATGGCTAATATTTGTATACAGATGTTCTAGCACTGCAGAAACAGCTTTACAGTAAAGACTGTAGCTTTTAATTCTTATTTAGCTGATCACATTTTTGACCATTTTTCTTCGCAAAGTAACTCAAAATCTGTGAGATTAGATGGTAAGCATCTGTGGATGTCAGTTTAAGAGTATTTTCATAAATTCTTAGTTTAGTTTAGGCCTGTTCTTTGGTTAGCCCATTCTAATGAGGTCATAATTTCATCCCAATCCTTCCTCTGAAGGTCTGGCTGTAAATTTAGGAGTTTCTGTTCTGCTCCCATGTTATGCAGCCTCTAGCAGGTTTTCTTCTCTGCTTCTATGTCACTGATGGAGGAGGGCATCCCTCATAGGATGCTGCTGGCAGCATTAGGTTGTTCAGGCTTCTCTTTAGTATTCCCACTGACCTGTTTGCCTTGATTTTGATGATTTCATGAGGATGTTTGATCAAGAATTTTCTCCAACTAACCTCTGAGGCCTTCACAGAGGAGCTGGATTTATACTGAGGTTAGATCATAATCAGGTAGACTCTACTTACTCAAATACCGTAATTTTCGGACTATAAGCCGCGACTTTTTCCCCATTTTTCGACCTTGCGTCTTCTCTATGGACTTTTACAGCTAACGGCCACTAGGGTGATGGATTTTACTGTCCACCATGTTGACGTCACATTTGCTTCAACACACCAAGTACGGTAGCCGCGCGCGCTGGAATGCGGAGGTCCTCCGGAAGCAGACTTCTACCGCGAGTGGTACGAGACAGAACGACGGCGAGAAAGACGGACATTGCGAGCGCAAGACAGTTTGTGTGTAAACATAAAAAACCTGCCGCTTATAGTCCGGTGCGGCTTGTATATGTACAAGTCATGCAATTTAGCTTCTGCGGCTTATATTCCGAAAATTACGGTAGATGCTTTCTAAAGAAAATAATTGCAACAATTTTCTTTTAGGATTTCAGACAAATGGGGAAAAAAATATATTTTTCTTAATGTACAATATTTCACATTTTTGTGCACTGAAAACAATTTACACTGGAAAAAACTGAAATCTAGATGAGTCATTTTTTCTTAAAATAAGCGCTTTTGTTCTTGGATTAAGGAGGTAAAACATACATTTTGCCAATGGAACGAGACAATTTACACTTAAAATAAGAAAACACAATTGAATTGTCTTATTTCAAGTGCATTTTATCCAATTATCTTATTTTAAGAGTAAAAATACTAATTCCATTGGCAAACTATCTCATTTACCGACTCAAATGAAGGGTAAATGCACTTAATTTTAGACATTTTTACTGATTTCTTGATAGTTTTTCCAGTGTAGAAATAAGTAAAAAAATATCTTAACCTCTTACACCCTAAGGGGGTATAAATAAATTTCTGCCTGACAAAAACACACAAAAGTAAATAACTTATAGCCTCAAAGCTATTAGATTTAAGAAGAAACTTTTGGTACGTCTGTAAAGGTAAGATGTCATAGAATGGTTTTCTGGTGTCAGCACCATTGTAGCTTTGACCCTGCCTGAAATATTAGGGACAAAATACAAAATATTTTGCATTTTTTGAACCTCGCCAAAATTTTCTTTGAAGTAAACATTGCAAAACACTACCAAAATATTATTTATAGCACAAAAAAGTAGTACAGACTTTCAAATCTAAATGTTGTGTAAAAATATACCAAATTTGGACTCAATCAGATGAATCATATTTATTTTAGAATGGTATTAGTGAGAAATTTCTTAGGCGGAGGGGCCAGTTTGGCACATTTATCCATAAATGTCACCAAACTGTGCCAAATATGTTTTTTACATCAATACTGGGGGTTTGGTAAAATTACGAGGTCATGTAGCAGCTGGACCCACCGGTGGGTCCGTAGGGTTCAAGGGGTTAAATTAAGAGTAATTTTAGTAAATGAGATGGTTTGCCAATAGAATAAGTATTTTTAAACTAAAAATAAGATTAGATAATTATTAATTGAAATAAGACAAGGCAATTGTGTTTTCTTATTTTAAGTGTGAATTGTCATGTTCCATTGGCAAAATGTTTCTTTTACCGCCTTCATCCAATAAGAAATGCACATATTTTAAGAAAAAATTACTTATCTAGATTGCGATATTTTTTTTTTCCGGTGTCGATCTTTTAAATAAATCTCAATATGTATTAAAGTTTATGGTTCTAACACAACAATGTTTTGTAAGGCTTTGTAAAATATTTGTTGAGGAACACAAACAATAATCTGAGCATTTTCTCACTTACTCTTTTAAATGTTTCCTATTTGTTTAGCCTCTCGAGGCCCTACTATGATCCAGCTACATCTGACCGCTGTGAAGAACCCAGAGAAAAGCCAGCCCAAAGTTATCAGCCATCCCAGATCTCCTCCCCTCTCCTGCCTCACCTCCAGCCCACCGATGCTCCAAAGCTAACCTGCGAGGCGGCCGCATCTGCCTGCCCCCAGCTGTGTAACCACCTGGAGATCAGCCAAGCCGACGGCCATGCTCCTAAATTTGGGAGGTCTTTCCAACCAGCTCTTGAACGTTCCCCTATCTTCTAGTTACTGAATTGTCTGTGCGATGCTGGTTGTGACTGCATCAGTGTGTTACGCCAAAACCACCCCAGTCTCCTCTGGTCATCACCTTTCTAACCGCTAAGGATGGCATATGAAGGAGAAGTGGAGGGATTATTTATTGCTTTTCTTTTCCTCCTATTGTAGATAATCCATTGGTCATCAGCCGGATGACTTTATTTTTATTTTTTTAACATATCTCCCACAGTAACTTGCTTTATTATTTTTGGAATAGAACATTGACGGTAAATTCGATGCCAAACTTAGAAATCCAGCTGCTCAGCAGAAACATTGACTTAACTTATGGAGGACGGTTTGAACCAGTCATTGCTGCATCATCTTCCACTATCACCCACTAAAACTCTTACTTTGAATGAAAACAAAGGAAACAGAGTTCTTTGCCTCCTTTAAAAACTGATCTCATCAGGATCTACTTTATTTCATGGTTTGATGTTAAACGTCTGAGCCAAGCTAAAGAGCTGTTATTAGGAGATGGAAGACCTCTGCTATCAGCATGCAGTCATTGTTTTGTTTCCCAGCTGCACGTCCTCCCTTCTGTACTGCATGGAAACCCAAACCACACCAAAAAACCCTGCTTTTCCCTGCATACTCTGGTGAAACGAAACAAACACACTCATACCAGCCCTGATGTCAGCGTTAGAGGAAACGGACAGCCCCCCCCCAGCCCTCTGTAACATGAGTGACTGATGCCAAACCATGGAGCTCTGATGGATGTCAACGATCTGTGCTTTTAAGTTGCTCTCATGCTCATTTACATCATGTTGTTGATTAAAACAGACATTTTTATTTTGCTATTAGCCTGCCAGGCGGATCTATGCGCCTCTTCTGATCCGTTACCATTTTTATATTTCCCTGAGACGATCAGTGGCATCATGTTCAGATTCACCAGGTTTCATTTTTGAGCCATCAACGAGGGATTGGGGAAATTAGACATTTTTACTCTAAATTTTCAGACCTTGCATCTAATTTTTCCGTTATGTTATCAATTCTCTAAACCTTTACCTGCTGACTTGACACTGACAGTGGTGTGCCTTGAAGAATAATTGTAGCAGTGATTAAGCAGGTTAATAGTTGAGGGTTTGCCATACGCTTCTTGGATGCTGTGCAGAAAATAATCCAGTTTGGGGATCTACTAATAAAGGGGAAAGGCTTTTTTTTTTTTTTTCTTTTGTGGTAACTTACTGGGCCTGATCTCCTCCTGTCTGCAAACCTCTAGGAAGGTTTCTTTAGTTTTGGATTCAAACAAGTAGCATAAGATAAATTCAGCCCCCATATATGTTTTTATAAATCCTACAAAATCAGCCACAGCTTATTTTAGATCTTTTCTGATTATCATCTAATGGGACATTTTTGGATGCTCTTATATCATGGAAAGGAGCTATTAACTGACCTAAATTTTTTTAATCAAGTTTTCATTAAAAACAGTCAATTTAACTTATTTAACTGGTGTTTTCTAAATATACAGACGGAGTAAAACTTTTAGTTTATTTTTAATTTGGGATGGTCTGTTTGCTCTATTTTTTGCTCATATTAGTTTACCGTCTGTTTTTGGAAAGAACCCAAATGAAACCTTTTACTATTTTATTTTTAATTAATCTGGAAGCAATCATCTCTCAGTATTTAATGATGTTGTTAAAAGTCAGCTTCATTTTAAAAAAAAATACGTATTTTTATCAAGCTATTCTTAAAATCCATCTCTAAAGACTGTTTACAGAATGTATATTCAAAGACATTTTTTTATATTTCATGTAATATCTTCTCATTTCGTTCAGCATGTTTCACCCCAACTAGACTTTTTATTTTTTACTGTTACCTCAGTTTGTGATCATTTTCAATGCTAAACTTCTTTGACATTTATGGAGTAAACATAAAAATGTTTTAAAATTTATTCTGACAGAATATTGAGCAAAGTTTGAATCTTTAGTTTTAGAAGGAGCGGTTAGAGATAGAAATATCTTGCTGCCGGGTTTTTTTTTTTTTTTAAAGATTCCCTACCTTTTGTTTGAGCTGCAGAAACACAAATTCTGGAATAAACAAAGTAAGTTCCTCTGGATAAAATCACATATTTTGTTTAAAACATTGACTCTGAATTTTGATTTTCATGTTAAGCAAATTTAGACAGTTTGCAGTTCTGTTTGTGTGTTTTACGACTAAAAGAAACAAGTTTTTTTTTTTTTCTTAAACTCAATTTTACTCCAATTTTAGTGGAATTCTGTGTACTATTTTATGGAGGGTAAAAAAAAAACATTGCTTAGTTCTAACGTAGTCTTGGGCTCATATTTTTCACAAAAAGTGTTAATGAAAAACACAGTTTCTTGCTGTATAAGTTTTTTTCTCACATTATCCATTTCAAATATCCAAACCTTCCCAGTCGACGCATCCATGGATGGATTCCGCTTTATTTCGCTCATCCTTACCTGAAAAGTGCTCAAATAGAAATGTCCAGCCATTTTCCGTATTCATAGTCTATAGTTTTTATGCACAGAAGAAGTGAAGGCTGTAAATCATTGGCTTGAATCTGGCAGAAGCTAATTTTAATAAGTTTAGTTGGTAATAAACTGTCTTGCTCCAAAGTAGAGGCCAGTCTGCCTGGAAGTTGCAGATCCTGCAAACCCATTTTCTCCCAGCAGCCCAGATGACATATTTCCGCGTCAAATGGATTAAACAAATGCAGATCTGCATGTTGGAGCAATTTAAGAGTTGAAAACAGCATGAAAAGCAGGTCAGATAAAAATATCTGCATCATGTGTCTCAGTCTGCAGACATGAGCTGGTTTTTATTTGTTTTCTTTACCCATAATTAACGGCTCACCTTTGACCCACTAACTCTAAACACTTCATGCAAAAAGGCCATGAAAACATGTTTTTTTAACCAAAGTAATCTACACCTAAAACCTAAAAGAATGACCAAAATAATATATCGGCACTGAAGAAGGTGCATAAAGTGATTTAACTATTAATGGACTTCTGGTTTTTATTTCTGCTACAGAAAAATGAGTGTGAAAGATTGTAGTGACATTGGGCTGAAGTCAGCTTGTTTACTCTGAGTCACAGAATCGGAGATCAGTGATTCAAACTCCACCGCTAAAAAAAAAATAAAAATCTGTGTGTGGAGCTAATGTGCTTCCAGGAAGATTATTATGTTTTTGTTTTTTAAGTTGGCTGGTTAAAAAAATCTAGATGTAAAGAGAAAAAAGACGTTCTTGACCTGAAAATGAGACATTTCTTCCTTGTACATAATGACTGTGATGAAATTCAACTAAATAAAAAAAAGGGGGATTTTCTAATTTTCTGTGGTACTTTGTCCATTATTAAATCATGTCTTTATGAGTCTTCTGACCAAACATGTTTGAATATTTGAACATGGGGCTCCAACATCCGGGAAAATACTCTGCACTGCAAAAAATGGAAATCTAAATAAGTCTTTTTTTCTTAAAACCTGTGCATGTGTTCTTTGATTAAGGAGGTAAGTGACACACTTTGCCAGTGGAACAAGACATTTTACATTTGAAAAAACAACTGCATTGCCTTATTTGAAGTGCATATTATAAATATCTTATTTTAAGAGTAAAAATACTCATTCCATTGTCAAATCATATTATTTATCTACTCAAATTAAGCGTAAATAATCTTAATTTTATACATTTTTTCAGTTATTTCTAGATCGTTTTTGCAGTGTGATCATCACCAAATGAATCACAAAGACTTTATGCTCTTGCCCTTTGCTCCAGTCCTCCACCTTCTGTCTCTGTGCCTCCTGCAGATGTTCAGTCTTAGATGGGAGGGGCTTTATCTCACTGAACATGCAGGTAAACTTAAAACCAGCTGATTGAGCTCTTCATTAGTGGAAGAAAGGCTGTATTACCCTCAGAAGGAGAGCTCACTAGCTCTACAGTAGCTGAACATCTCAACCTAATGTTCTCCGTTATGTTGGAAGGTTTTTATTTGGCATTAATAAATGGTCAAATAAACCAATTACAGTCAAATTTATAGTTACTTTTCTTCAACAACTGGTTCATTTAGGTGAAAAGGGTTTGAAAATGATCAACTTTGCTATAAAAGGTAATACCGCACTGCAAAAAACATCTAGAAATAAATAAAAAAAAATCTTAAATTAAGTATTTACCCTTAATTTGAGCAGGGAAATAAGATGATCTGCCAATGGAATGAGTATTTTCACTCCTAAAATAAGATAATTAGATAATATACACTTGAAATAAGACAAAGCAATTGTGTTTTTCTTATTTTAAATGTAAATTGTCTTGTTCCATTGGCAAAGTTTCTCACTTACCTCCTCAATTCAAGAAAAAAATGCACTTAATTTGAGCAAAAGTTACTTTAATTTTTTTGCAGTGCGTTTTAATCATTAAGCACTTTGCAATAACCGTAATAAAATTAATTATCAAACATAACAGAAAAAGTTCCTCTTTCACAAAATATTGGGGCAGAAATGATCAAGAATTGTGGTGCAGTTCGTATTTTAAAAACCTTCAGGTTCATATGTATGTAGTTTGCATGTTCTCCTGTTCTATTTCCACCCACAGTCCAGACTCATGAGTCCTGTGTTAGAAAGTTACTCTGAATTATTGGTGGGGTCTGTTTGTCCTGCTTATCTTTGTTTGCGCTGTGATGGACCAATGACCGCAACAGGGTTCACTCAGCCTCTCACCCAGTGACCCCTTGGGTGGACATCAGCAATCCCCTATGGATAGATGATGAATCAGTGGATAATCTAACATTCTGCATTACAGTAAAATAATTTTATTGGGGTTATTTTAAGAAAATTACACTTAAAATATAAGACCTGTCTGTGGGGCTTACCTCATCATGACCTTTATCAATTATTAAGTTTCCTTTCACTTATGAAATAATAGGCTAAACTAAACTCCTGTTTTTACTTCTCAATATTTGACATAATTCTGGATATCTGCAGAAATTAAACCGTTTCGCATGATGTTAAAATGTGAAAAGAAGCTTTTATTACATTGTTAAAAACAGCAGGGTTCTGTCTAAACATATTGTGGTGCTGATAGATTTCTCCCATTGTTCCCACCTTTCCCAGTTTGAGGAGTACAGGGGTGCGTTGTTTGGAGTAGCGCTGACATCCAAGTCATGAATGACACTGTGTTGAGCTTATTCTGCAGCCTAGAAATAGTCCTGTAATCCAATTAGCAGATTGCTCTACTTACCAGGCTGCGTTCTGTTGATTGGCTCCTACTTTGTGTGTTTTTGGTTGAGTGGAGGGAGGAAATTAGTGTTACTATAAAGGAGATTATATAAACTGAATGGCGGATTGCTGAACCTGCTTTCTATTCGTTCCTGGTCCAAGACAGTTAATCGTAAACTAAATGTTTTACCACTCATAATTTTTACCACTCATTTAAAGGAAAGTGAAAAAATAAGTAATTTTTGGTTTACAACTTAAAAATACAGAAGTATTTGCATTTCTTGCGTTGTTTATAGAGCGGTTGTAATCATAATATTAAAGCTGAGTTGATTGGAGGTAGATATAAATCATTCAGGGATTAAAAAATGACAGGTTTTGTGAACAAAATTAATCCAGTTTATAATTATATATATATATATTATATATAATTATATTAATATAAATATAATTATAAATACATTTAAAAAAAATCAATAGATAGAAGGTTTTCTTTAAGGTAAATAAATGCTGAAAGTGTTGTTCAACAATAGTTTTCAGTATGTATTTCAAATGTGTAATTATTATTTTTATTGTTTTTGTTTAAACAAGATGTATATTTTTTATTAGCTGGAACTTATTAAAGAAATTGAGTTAAGCACTAAATATGAATAAAAGACCTTAAATCCTCTTTTTCCTGCTATCAACAATGAATATTCATCCAAATCACCACTAGATGGCGTTATGGATTAAAAATGTTAGTTGGTCTTTTTCAAAGTTTTTCTGTTTCCTTCCTTTTCATAAGAGAATAAAACTCCCTTTAATAACACAACCTAAATATATGAATAATTTGGGATTTAAAATCTCAAGAGAGGGAAGAATGCAGCCAATCACTCTCTGCAAAGCTATTGATGCACTGCAGCCTACCAGTGGTGCTGATGGCAGAGTACAAATAATGCATATTTTCTTCAGCAGGCTGAACTTTTGCAACTGCTGCAGGAACCACACCCTTTACCGCTGCTGAATGAGTGGGGAGGCTTTGAGCTTATGGTTTCCGATCTGTCTGAAAACAACACCTCATCTGTCTGGAGAGGGTTCAAAGAGCCGGTCTTTTACCTACAGGCCAGATTTCCTCCTCCCCAGAAAATCTAGTTCATCTTTATTTGGAAAATACAGATCATCTACTGGTTAATTTTTCTTGTTGGAACAGTGTAGATTGACCCAGAAGATGTGGTGCCTATCTGCTCTTGGTCAACCCCTCGGTGCACATTGGTCGGTGCCTGGCCACCCCTATAAAAATGTTCTGGCTACGCCACTGCATAGGTGAGTACAGTAACATGGACCGATATGTAATCAGCAGCCCCATGGATCCAGCTGTCGATCTGCCTCTCCATTCTCCCTTGCTCTGTAAAAGGTCCCTAAGATGCTTCAACTCTCCTCGAGACAGAAGCTCTCCTCTGACTTGAAGCCAGACGCGTAGCTAGAAAATCCTAATAGGGGTGGCCGATCAATAACCAATGTACATTGAGGGGTGGCCGAAAGGCACCAGAACCTCAGGGTCAATCTACACTGTTCCAACAGGAACGAGCACAACATCCATACTTTCTAAATAAAGACAAACAATACTTTCCTGCAGCCTTTGCTAACAAATGGACAGATATATTTAAACATCTATGCTGTGTAAATAAAAGGTATAGTGGACAAAATTCTTTCAGGTTTAAGTTCTGGGGCGAACATATTTTACATTGCCATTACTTTTATCAATAATCATTCTGCCAATAAATTATATTTAAATCTACTAACATCCACATTAAATGAATTTTTAAGTTATTATTAAAGCTACAGTGTGTAATTTTTAGCGACATCTAACGTCCAGACTGCAGACCGCAGCAACATGAACGTCTCCCCCCCACCGCTTCTCCCCCCCAACAGTGCGGCGAGCGTTACGGGACAAAATGTCTTCCACGACGTCTGCATCACCTACCTTCTCAAGTGATGAGGTTTGTTTACATAGATAATTTTACAGATAGTATTTCATTAGTCTGTGTGTTCAGTACCGTCTCAGTTCATCTCTCTCAACTTGCCGTAGTTACTTTCAAGCGTAATGGGCGATCTCGCAATCGCTAGGTTGTTGGCTCTGCGCTGCCGTAGCGCAAAGATGTCTGCCTCCATGGCTGCGAGACCCGCTCCTATGTAATTATAAATAACGAATTCTAAGGCAACGCAAATATTAAGGTTAAGAGGCTGAGCTCGTAGATGATGATAAATAACATAGTTATGTATAATATATTACATTTCTGACTGTATATCCCTGTAATTATTACACACTGTAGCTTTAAATTAGTTATTTATCTATGATTTCACTGAAGACCATGAACCCCATGAATTCTGTAACTATCATCTTTAATGTTTGTATATTGATGTGCATAATTAACCACAGTGTTTCTGTTGTCAAGTAGTTGTTAATATATGAAAATTTTAAATGTTTAATAAGTTTGAACATTCCCCTTCAAAGTGTTACTGCTGCCACCATCTGTATTACAGGGAAACAAATGGTAGGAGTGGCCACAGGGGTGGCCAATGATTGGCTAATGGTGGCCATGGCCACCCCTGGCCCCACATCTAGCTCCGCCCCTGCCTGAAGCAAGCCGGCCACTTTTTTTATGACAGGAACCTCAGACTTGGAGGAGCTGATCTTAATCCCGGCTTGCTTTACACTAAGCTGCGAACTGTCCCAACACATGTTTGGCATAAAGGATTCAGCAGAATAACGTCATCCACAAAAAACAGAGTGGAAATCTGCTGGTCCCCAAACCAAACCCCCTCCAGCCCTTGGTTACGCCTATGAATCCTGTCCATAAAGGTTATGAACAGGACCAGTGACAGGGCTGCCCTGTAAAATGTGTATAAGTTTTTTCCTCAGTTCACCCCTCAGGTTTTGTCTAGTACTTAGTTGTGTACAGATACTAGGGAATTATTTCTGTATAAAGTTTTTCAACCCACTCGATATTTGTTTTCAATTTTCTGACAGAGGCCAGCAGACTTTATTGAAATAAGCCTAGGATTTCAATGAGTTCATGATGCTCTCTTCGCTAACAAGATTTTGCAACCCACAGCTTCATAGGTCCTCCACCATACTTCACA